AGATTCGTGCTGCAAGCTCAGTATTTATATGACGTGACTGCCCCGTAGATTAGTTTGAAAGTACAGAATTCAAAGGATTACAGTGGGTTTATTTTCTATTTACTTATTACAGCGTTTTGGTTGTCTGGTCTGGTCTCGGTGTCGCCTCGCTCTGATTCCAATGGCTGCTAATAATGCTCGTCTTGGCTCGTCGACGCGTTGACTCGGTGATCGTTGACTTCTTCCAGTATCTCGAGATGCTCGTGATTTCCCTCGCCCTTGCTCGCTCGCCGACGCGTTGACTCGAGGCCGCTTGTCGCGCCTTGGTCTCGCAAAGAAATCGGCCAAAGCTAACGCCAGGAAGCTGGCTAGCTCTACGCCTAGCGCAGACGAACGTGCTTGTCGTCCGTGACATTCCTGCGCTACTCAATGTTCTCCGTGGCGGTCATGACGTAGGTGCCGGTGATGTCCACTGATGTTGCTGCCAAAGTCCTCTGTTCTGGTCCTTATCGTACTTGCTGCGAGGCTGGATCTATCGTGGTCACTGTCCCCTGAGGCCTTGGACGATCGCCGTTCCTGGACTTCTTGGGCTCGTTGAGCTTCTCCAGGACAAAGCCACTTGAATGCCTTTTCGGGCTGGTAGTAATGTTCTTTGGCACTCGGGGCTTCGATCGGTTGCTGTTCCAGAACTTCGCCGGTAATCTCTGGGCTCTTCAGGACAATGTCTCTTGAAAGTACAAATCGGTCGACCGCTCGTCCTTCGCGCCAAATCACGCTCAGTCGGGCAAGGCACACTGGGTTTAAATAACTTTCCCCACGAGCTCACTATTCGTCGTCGCAGGAATCTACCAGATAATCTACAAGGGAGCAACAGCAAGTCGAGTCGTCGGAAAAGCAGCGCCGTGGGAGCCTACGAGGAGTAAGATTGCTACGTCGAGACGTTTGGAATTGGGATACCAGGAATCTCTGAATTGAGACGCAGGTAGCTGAGGTCCAGAGGGCATCACGCGGCTAAGCCAAGGCGGTCGGCTTAACCCTATCAACAAAGTCCTGGCGTTACGCCTGGAGAAAAACGAGTATAACAAGCTAGAAGGGAGAGTGGTCGATCGGTACGGTCTCGAGTGGAGTTGTCCAGGAGAGTCCTACGGTTTCGACGGAGCGGGCGTACGCCCGAACCCCGAGTACCAAAAGCCACACCACGTCCAGCCGCGCAGCCAGCACCGCTAGGAGCAGTGCGCAAGATAGCGTCAGCAGCAAGCCAGCCACCACATCACGACAGCAACGCATCACAGAGCGAGCCACGCAGAAGGGTGTGGCTAGGGGGGAACGTTCGTTTACACTAGGCGTAGAAACGAAGTAAAGCGCGAGGCAGCTTCCTGGCGTTCCGCCTTGACTGTCCGCACGGGCTGAGCGGAAATCGCAGTGGGACCATACGGACAAAGCAAGGGACAGGCGGCGGTGTGTCGATAGGAGTGATCCTGGAGAGCGCAGCTTCTGTTCACCCTAGTCTGAGAACGGTGACGCTTTCCTAAGCCCGTACGTCTGATCCCCCTCGCGAGTCCGAGTCGTTACCAGCAGTCACCGAGTCAACGCGTCAGGGACGAGCAGCGAGCGAGCATCTTCAGGGAGCCGCAAGGATCTTCAGGGCGCTACAAGACTGGAGCACCGAGTCAACAAGGCGAGAGGTCGTCGAGACAACCAGGACCGTCGGAAGTACCGAAAGCCACAAGTGACGAGTCAAGGCCCACCAAGTTACCAAGACATTTGTAATAATATACCCGCAATAAACCCACTACGAACGCGTGAATTCTGTGCTTTCTCACTGAGCTACTAAGCGGTCACGTTTATATAAATTTGGTGGGACGAACACACAATCTACTGAGCTAGCCGCACGAATCATGTAGCGAGCAGACCACAAAAATCAGTTCCTTACATCTAGCGCCCAACGTGATTGTCCCAAAGCCGGCCCAAGCATCACGTTAACGAACGCCGAAGGGGACAACCTAGTGGCAAGCCTGCGCGTTGACAACTTACAAAACGAGGCAAACAGGAGAGAGTCAAGCCAAGACAGGAAAATAACAGCGCTGATCTCGAGACCCACTCAGTCAGACTATGCAAGGATCGCCAAACAGGTCCGCGAATGGTCGTTCAGGTTTGACGGAGCGGAAAAACCAGTTCCCACTGAAAAATGACAGCAGTCAGTACACGGCGTTTACAGTGCCGGGGAAAGGCTTATTTCAGTGGAGAGTAATTCCATTTGGACTTCATTCGGCGTCTGCGACCTTTTAACGGGTGCTGGACCGTGTGATCGGGACCGAAATGTCGCCGCACGCATTTGCTTACCAGGATGACATCATAGTGATCGGGCGCTCGCTGGAAGAACACAAGGCTAACCTGACGGAAGCCGACGGCTAAAGGAACCAAATCTGAGGTTAAACCAGGAGAAGTGCCAATTTTTCAAAAAAGAGCTGTTGTTTCTCGGTCATTGATTGATTAGCGAAGGAATAGGCACGGATCCGGAAAAGGTAGAAGTAATCGCCGAACTAGAACCACCATCGACAGTAAGAGAGCTCCGATAGTACTTGGGCGTAGCTGGTTTGTACCTGACCTCGAAAAAATAGTCAAGTCTCTCAACGATCTGCTACGCAAGGGCAATAAATGGGTGTGGACACAGGAACATGAAGGCAAGACTCGTCGCAGACCCCGTACTGGCGTGCCGAAATCGGAGCAATTTTGACCCAGAAAACTGAACGAGGTGAAAGGGTAATCCCTTACTCCAGCCGAACGCTTAACGGCGCTGAGAAGAATTACTCAACGAACGAGAAAGAATGCTTGGCAATCGTCTTGGCGATCCGAAGCTCAAGCCGTATCTGGATGGTTACCACCTTAAAGTAATAACCGACCACATGGCGCTGAAGTGGCTCAACAGCATAGAGAGCCCTTCAGGAAGGATCGCCAGATGGGCCCTGGAGCTGCAGCAGTACGACTTCGAAATAGCGTACAGAAGAGGACAACTCAACGTGGTGGCAGACGCTTTGTCAAGGCAGCCACTACCATAAACGCTTCGAGGGATCAAGAAGACGTCGGCGGCGGAAGCTTCAGCAGCATGCAGCTGGATTCTGGAAATGCGCGAAAACATAAGGACCCAGCCGCAAAAGCATTCGGACTACGTGATGGAGGGTAACTCCCTGTACAGGAATAAACCTCATAGAGCGGGCAGCAAGGATGTCGCAACACGGAAGATGTGCGTCGCGAAAGCTCTACGGGAAATGGTGCTGAAGTAGAACCACGACTCACCGGCGGCTGGCCATGTAGGAAGCCGAAAGACAATAGCGCGTCTGGCAGCCCGGTATTACTGGCCAGGAATGCACAGAGACGCCCGAGCCCACGTGCGAGGATGCGATACATGCATGAGATTCAAGCCGAATCAGATGCAAATGGCTGAAAAAATGCTAACGCAGGTGCCAGAGGAACCATTGGCAACGGTATGTGCGGACTTCGTCGGAACCCTGCCGCGTTCGAAGCACGGCAACCAAATGCTGCTGGTATTGATAGACCGGTTCTCCAAGTGGACTGAGTTAGAGCCGCTGCGAAGCGCGACAGCCGAATCCCTAAAGAAAGCTTTTAGAGAACGCATAATCACGAGGTATTGGGTCCCGAAAATAGTCATAACGGACAACGGAGTACAGTTTGCCAGCAACATTTTCAAGAGTTTCCTGGCCGAAATGGGAACCAAGCAACAGTTCACAGCTCCATATACCCCACAGGAGAACCCGACTGAGAGAGCAAATAGGACGGTGATGATAGCGCAGTTTGCAGGGCAGAACCAAAGAAACTGGGACAAAAAATGGCCGGAAATAATGCAGGCAGTAAACACGAGCGTTTCAGAATCCACAGGTTACACACCGTCGTTCATTACCCAAGGCAGAGAACTAAGACTAACGAGCTCCTATACGACAGAGAGACCGCAGGGACCGGACGACCTACTGAGACCTCGGATGAGAAGGCCAACGAACTCAGAGAAATCTTCGAGATTGTAAGGCGGAACCTGGAGAAAGCATCCCAGGATCAGGCTAGGCATTATAAGCTAAGGAGGAGGCAATGGACGCCAACGGTGGGTGACGTCGTGTGGGCCAAGGAACACCATTTATCAAAAGCGGCCGAGGGCTTCGCAGCAAAATTGGCCCCAAGATACGACGGACCTAACCAAGTCACGGGTTTTGCGTCACCAGTAACACAAATTAGCACAAAGAAAGAGCGGACCATCCATGTAAGCGAGCTGAAACACCAACAAATGGAAAACACAAGCGAGCGGCTACAACAAGCGGACACAACAGACGCAAAACAACATCGAAAGTCCAACAACAAAACAACAAAGTCCAAGGATATCTTCAAGGATACTCAAAGGTACTACGGAAAAAAAAGTCCAAGGACATCTCCAAGGATTCCCAAAGGATAATACGAAAAAAGTCCAAGGATATCTCCAAGGATTATCATAGGATACTAAGAAAAGAGTCCAAGGATATCTCCAAGGATTCTCAAAGGATACAAAGAAAAGAGTCCAAGGATATCTCCAAGGTTTCTTAAAGGATACTACGAACACACTCCAAGGATACCTCCAAGGATTCGCAAGGGATACTACGAAGTGACTCCAAGGATAACTCCAGGGACTCGCCAAGGATACTAGAAATAGTTACTGGGACACGATAAGATAAATCCAAGGAATCTCCAAGGATACTACAGGGCAACTACAAAGGTGCAATGAAATACATAAAGGACATCAGGAGAACGTCAAGAACACAAAGGGAGCAAACCAGAGCGTACAAAGACTCGATTGGACTGATTGGAGGAAAGAAAAACACACGCATCAACAGTCTGCCGAAGGAAGGGGGAAGACGGCACAGATAGGAAGAAGGAGAGGCCAAAGAAAATAGCGGGATTGAGCAAAGAGGAAGCTCGGAACAGATGTGTCGTTGAAGGGAGCCCAGGCTTCAAATTAACAATCAAAACCGACAAGCATCATGAGCACACTTGTGACGAGAAACGAAGTGCGCAAGATGATGGCTGCCCAACAGCCGTCCGGAGGATCCAGCCCGGGGAAAGGATGGTCGACAGACCGGCCTACCCGAACCTCGCGGCGGATCTCCGGGCGGGGCGTTCCCGAGCCGGTCATCAGCTCCGACAGCGACTTCGAGTTGGTGGAAGACCCGCGGGTGGTGCAGCGGCGATGGCGGCTTAGCAGAGCCGTCAACCGGGCCGACGGCCGCATCCCGACAGGCGCGGCGGAGGTCGAATGGGCCAGTGAGGAGCCGCCCCAGGACCAGCAGGCTCCCGGTAGCCATGCCGAGTCTGTGGCAGCGGCTACGTCGGAGTATCGCGGGAAGTGCGAAGCGCGACGGCGGAGCGAGGAGCGGCGGTTGAAGGAGATGAAGGAGTCGCCGGAGTGGCAGGCCCAACTGCGGACGGCCGAGGAGGAGGAGTAGCAGCTGTGGGAGAACCCGGGGTACCCACCCACACTGAGATAGGCACCCGAGCTCGCATCCCGCCACCAGGAGTGGCAGAGGACTGGGCGCCCTCACCTCCGCGGTGGCTGCCCGAAATTCCACCCACACCGCGGTACGAGGAACCACCGCAGTGGACGCCAGCAAGAAAACCCACGCCAAGGTTCGAGCAGTCACCCCCGCTGCAGCAGCCCGAACAACGACGGCAGCCACAACGCGAGCAACCACCACCGCGGCAGCAACCGGAACATCTCGAGCAGCAACCACCGCAGCACCAGCCCGAACGACAACATCGCGAACAACAACCCGATCCGCCGCAGCAACAACCAAGGGACCCGATGGGACAACCACAGTACCCGGACGTTCGTGGCCGAACCCGCGGAGGAGACGGCGGCGACGGAGGAGCCTCGAATCTGGGAGGAGAGTGGTCCCCGGGTGAGCCCGCTGGACCCTAGGACCAGCCATGGACACCACCGACACCGAGCACCGGACCGGCGACACCGGCATCAGCAGCAACAGACGGCCCGGCGGCAGCACCGGAACAGGACGAGCCGCTGGAAAGGGGGCCCTGGGTGTGGCCCGAGCCCGTGTACAGTGGCCGTCCGCTGCTAAAACGGCAGCACTGCGCACCCGAAATCTCCGAGTTGGTGGCCAGGGCAAAGTTGGTGAGGATGATGTCGGCGCCGGAGATTCAGCGATGGTGAAAGATCGCGGAGCACGAGTGGCCCGAAGGGATCGCAGAGGTACCTGCGGTGAAAGAGGCCCGCTTCCTGGCCGGCAGGCGCAGCGTGCGGGTATGGAGAGAGGGGCGCGCGTTCCGAGTCCGGTTGGGGCTCGCGGGCACGAAAGTGTTTGAGGAGCAGCCAAATAAAGTTTAAAAAGAAAGGAAAACGAAACAAAATTTGAAACCGGCATAGGACGGGGAACGCGGCTGAAACAGGGGCCAGAAGAAAGGTCTGCTGCGAAGCAAATGCGAAGTCCTCTCCGCACCCTCTCTCGAGTGTTGCCAGCGTGGAGCTAGGCTCAGCCGGCTGAGGACGACTGAAGGGCGAGAGAAGACGAGAGAGGACGAATGGAGAGAGAAAGGATGAAATAGAAAGGAGTGAAGAAATGCGAAAACTTACCTAGAAAGTTGCAAAATCACCATGTTCCATGGAAGGGGGCGCCTTGGCACTGGACGGTAGTGCGATCGATGGGCACACGAAAGTGGAAATATCGGCAAAAGGTGGAAATATCGGAACGAGCAGGTGGCAACGCCGCACCGTCGGTATCGGTAGTCGCAGAAACATCGATCACGCACGGATGGTGTGACCCAGCAGAGGAACCGTGGAAAGGAGTGGGACGCAGCAATGAGCAGCGATCTGGGGATCGATAGCCCATGAGTATAGATGTCCCAGTGGAAACATGGGAAATATCGGCGCGGGAGTTTTAAAAGTGCTACGAGGAGGATGACCAGCACTGTAGAAAATCAATGAAGTTAAGAGCGTCGAGGGAGCATCGGGGGAGCAACGAGGGAGCGCCGCGGGAATCGGAGGGAGCATCACAAGGACTCGAAGGCTAGGAAACGCCGGAGAGTAGAAACGAGTTTTAAATGTTTCCCGAATTGAGGGGGGAATTTGAGGAGTTGAATAACTCCCCATAAATACAAGCAGGAGAGGATGGAGAACGAGAGAGTTTGGAGACCAAGGATGGAGAGCGAGAGAGTTTGGAGACCAAGGATGGAGATCAAGAGAGAGTTTGGAGATCAAGAATGGAGATCCAGAGAGTTTGGAGACCAAGGAGAAGATAAGGAGAGAGTGGAGACTTGCCGGGCATAGCAAGAGTGTGTTACGTACGCCCTCCACATAAAATGATTCACATAGAGAAACAACGACGAATCTTTATCCAGGGGAGGGGTGCATGTGACTAACCAGACTCATACTGGTAAAGGCAGAAGAAAATGCAATCCGGCAGTTCTCGGGTGTCGCGTGGCCAGAACAACGGCCACTATCGACCAATTGGTAACCATACTCCGGTAGCTGGCAAAGGGCAACAGCCGGCCGTTGACTCCCAAGATAGCAGATATCAAGAAACAGTAATTCTAGGTGGGAATACCTAGTTTATCCGATCCATACCCGCAGCCAAGTAAAAGCTCTAGTCTGGTATAAAAGACCTTAGACAATTAGAGAAAGGGGGAGAATCCATTTGGGTGTCTTGCAGACGGAAGCCGGCAGCTCCGAGGGAAGGCGACTTTCCCTGGGGCAGTCGTCCATGGAGTCTTCTGCCACCAGGACCAGCCACCATATCCAGCAGTCCTTGAGGAGAACACAATTGCAGCTCGAAATAATCTTGTGTCGAACCAGCGCCGCTTTTGTCATCAAATAACGTGGAGAAGATCAACAATAAGGACGTCATCCGACATACTGCGATGTTTGTGGACGCAGTATCCGTGATCTCCATGCTCCTGAAATTTGTTCAGCTGAAGGAACCATCCGTTCAGAGCGTAGCGACCAATAGCATACGTCGGAGAAAGTAGTGATGCAATATAAATGTGTTAATCGAGCCAACCAAAGCTAAAGTGAACTCATGCATAACCAAGGACCAATATCCTCAATTAATACAATTGGATAACAAGTGAAAATCAAGCATTCAAACATGCATTAATATATATTTAAACCAACCGAATCAATAGACAAAGTAAGAATCATGATAAACAATTAGAGAGGACGAATCTCTTCACCAGCCGTTGAAGAAGTCGCATGCCTCTGGCAAAATATTTATATATTTTGTGTTTAAGTGAATTTGTATTGTAGTATGCACTTATATTGAATATCTACTGTACCAAGAGAACTTGAATCAAACACACTGTAACACTTTATTGCAGTGTTTACATAAAAAATGGCTCGGTCAAAAACCTAAGTGGCAGAAACATGATTCGATCGGCGGCGTACACAGAAAGTGCAAGTGTCAGCATTCTGTTGCACACGCCGGCCGCTCAGCCAAAGTCAAGTACATACATATACCTCCGCGCTCCAGACAAAGTGAGCATAGCTATATACTTAAGAATATATAGGCCATCTCTCCGCTGTTGGCAGCGCCGCTATGAGACTTAGACCTCCTTAGCTCCTAAGTAAATAAAGTTTGTGAAAAAACTCTTTTTGAGCTCAGAGCGGCAACAACGGCTGCTGTGCTCCGAATACAATACAAATAAAAATCATCCAAATGGATATCTAACCTAAATGAATTGGACTTATATTATTTGGGCTTTATGGAAAATCCTACACGTTTAAACTGTTACATGGCGACCGTGACGATGGTCCTGGAGGACCTAGGGAAGAAAAACTGCAGGACAGGAAATTAAAGACGACTGCATTTCACCGTGACGCTGGTCCTGGAGGACCTAGAAAGGAACCACTGGAGGACAGAAATTGATGAATTTCATTAGCAGCAGACAAAAAATAATATCGCAGTGAGTATAGTGTGATGTGTGCTAAGCGCAGTGGTGTGGTAAAGAGACTAAAAGCCAGAAGGGCTGAATTACTGAAGCTACTAAATAGCGGAAGTAAATTAAATTGGAACGATTCGGTCAAATTACATGCCGAACTCGGCATGCTAAAACTAATGTAAAATTACCTCCACCACGGAAGAAAAAAATACCAAAATTTACAAAGAAGGGCCCAAACGACTGCGAGGGACCACTGTGCCCGCCCCATTGCGAGTACACCTGTGCAGCCAGTACCGGTGCCCCAACAAAGATGACCGTCGAGGAAGTCCAGCCTGTGCAGCCAGCACCGGCCACGTCTTGCCAATCAAGCGAGACCAAGGAGAAGTGAGCCGACAGCGCTTCATAGAGCGCATATTTTTTTTTTACCATGCACTGCGTTGCACAATTTATTTTTTTTATATTATATAAAAAACTAATGTAAAATTGAGCGACATTAAAGTTTCCCAATTAGCGTGTGGCCTGAAAACCATATAAAAACTAGGCAGGCTTTCCCATTGTTAAAAATAAATTTTTATCAAATTATACAAAAAAAAATTTGACGGCCCAAAGGCAAATTTTTAACTACATGAGCCAAACTAAATGGCAAATAAATTATAAATTAAACTACACACCTATAGCTATACCAGCTCACAGAAAAACACCCAAAATGGGTTAAGTAGACGTACGAACTCCACAACAAACGTCATAAATAAAATCGAGTCCAAAAATATTAATACAGATTTAACGAACATTTTATTATCAATCATTGTCTTTATTATGAGCGCCTGTATATCAAAGAGAGCCATAAATAAAAGCCAGGCTAATGATCTGGACAAAATATAAATACATAGAGCGCCAACAATAATTATAAAAAGATGTTTAAAATAAAATAAAAATAAAAGAGCAAACCAATTAATATAAATATGTATGTTCATATATTGATATATTGAATATAGATATTATTTCATCCAATAATCTTATCTAATGTACAATGAAAATAAATAAATAAAAAAAATAATAATAAATATAAAATATGAATACTACAGAGTGTATTAGAATCACTCTTGATAGGGAACCCAACTTTCAGAACAGGGTATTATCAATAATTGAAAAAGGAGCTGAGCCTCTACTCATCAATGAATTCGAAAATGAGTACATGAATAGGTACATTTTAGACTTTTCTTCCTTGACACATTGCTCAAGTACCCAGAAGGCGATAGTATTGAGCACCGTCCCGACCCTAAAAATTAGATCAGTTATTAACGATAACAAGTTACTTGGGAGACATCTTTCATTGATGGTTTCAAGAACCTAGAAAATATTCCATTAAATAATGGGATGGGACGAATAATATAAAGAACTAAATAATATAAAAATTGATTTTGACAGATCTTATAAGTCACTATCAAGACCCCGGCCAGCACAGCAAAACGCTGTGAACAAGCATGCCGAAATATTAGTAACCCGCTTCAATACAGCGCGTATACTAATACACGATCAGAGAGACAGGCAAAACAAAGCCCATTGGTCTCAAGTATCAAGTACCTAAACAAATTACGGGATAACCTAATAGTTACAAAGCAAAGGTACAATTTCAGTACCAACTATCCTAAGCACACCTTTGAAGATAGAAGCTAGAGAAGAGTGGGAAATGTCAGATCCACCAGTACAAGCTGAGGCTGACGACCCTATCTCTAAAGATCCCGATATAGAAGAAAAAGATATAAACAACCTCACTATCCCAGCAGTCCTTATTCAATCTGAATTATCAGACCAGGAATCGACCGACTCGGATTCTCACAATAGCATTGTAGAAATAAATCCAATCAAAATGGCACAAACTAATATTGATTTTATTAATACAGCATCCAAGCTTATACCAGTTTTCGATGGTAAAGCTGAAAACTTAACAAGTTTTATGGATGCATTAGAAATAATAGAATCAATAAAAGGCGAACACGAACAATTAGCAGTTTCCATTATAAAAACAAA